AGAATAATCAATATACACATATATTCCCCCCACCCCTCCGACCAAATTAATATCTCATGTAAATGAATATTTCAGTCTGTCGGCAGAATGTACGCGTGTATTAGTCTTCTTTCTCTCTAGCAATCCTTCGAAAACTGATCTTACGTAATCCTACGTGCACATGTTCAAAAGCAATCCTACAATATCTCGCAAATACGTATAAATGTTTCGGGCCGAACCGTCGGAGGAATTATTTTCCATTGCAGCGCCGCGACAACACAGCACCGACAGACACTTTGCCGGTTTTTCCCCCGGAGACAACGATCCCCGTGACTTCGGATTCTCCTCGGAAAATATTTATTTCTTTCAATAAAAATTTTAGCGCGCGAGACGCAAAAAAGTCGGCAAGGGAGAGACGCGTATAATCCCCTAAAAGGGAGAGATCGCAAATTGCAATCGGAGAGGTCGTTTGAACCGTCCAGCGAAATGACAGACAGACTGATAATTGCCAAATCGATAGCAACGTTTTACAACAAACCGATCTTTCGTTTTTCCTTTTTTCCTTCATTCTTCCAATACGATCGAAACAGCGAAATTAACACGCAAACGGGCGGCTTCTGCGTGGAAAGCGAGTTTGCGCGCACGCGATGGACACCCGTTTCAAAAATTGAACGAGCAAGAACCGGGGGGGAAACCGTCGAAACGTACAAATTACATTCGACTAATCCGCGCTCGACGAGCGCTTTGTGTATGAGTGTGCATGAGATCCGCCATTTTCTTCGAAAGGGCTAACCGCGTTGGATATCTACGCCTCGTATTTTGTCTATCGCCACGAATTTTGGTCCTGCTCGCTTGCCGGATCATTCAGAGAGGCCTGCGAAAGAGTTTTCAGCAGCGATGCACAGTCGAAATCCTTTGTAAATTCCGGGAATGTACGATCATTCTCGGCGAGAAGCTCGCACCGGTCGCTTATATATGTATCTACAGCGAACGGTGTGCGTGCATGCAACGAGCACGCACACGCTCGTGCCAGATGGTCGGGAAACCGAAGCTTGGCATCGCGAAATTATTCGAAGATTCTGCTAGAAGCTGGAAACTAGAAATCCCTGTTTCTGACTTCTCTGCAGAAAATTGGATCCTTTGAGAAAGATCGGGAATTCTCGATATTGATGAAAGATACGCACGACTAACGACCTTGTCATTCCGCCGTTTTGGCCGAAACACGCTGCAAAATTTCATTAAAAAACCGTTATTAGAAAATAGCTCGAGTTTTTCAACTTCTTTTTCTTTTTTGTTTTTTTTTGCGTTGAAAAATAACAAACAGAGCACGTTTCGTTCACGCGCACGCAAGGAGGTTAATTATACAACGAGAGACTTAACGAGCGATCGTCGGGCATTAATTATATAAGGATCGCGACGAAACGTCTCGAGGATACCATGTGAACGAAACTTCGGACTGGCAGTCGAAAATCGTTCGAACGTACGGAATTAACGTGTAGAGTCGTAGCCACGCGTGATTCGAAATCTGTTGTTCGAATTGAATTACGTCGACGAAATCTCGCTCGGACTACGGTCTACGATTGCGAGGATCTACCGTCTGAAACTAAGAGAAGTCGACTAAAACCATGTGTCCTCTCTTCGACACTGTCGGATGTAAACAATAACCTATATTCCCGTATCAGTTGCACTCGACTGAACTTACTGTAGAAATGTTCACGAAATAAACACAGTTATTAAATCGTCGAATCGGAGTATTGTTGAGTACTCCGGAGAATGATCGACGATTATCGTCGATGATCTTTAGTTAGTTAATTAAGGTTAGCTTCTGGTTCGCGCGGCGAAGCGGGAGAGACTCGCTGTCGAATCGGATGATTTCGGAGCTGCTCGTTTCCCTCTAGTTCGACGCTTGAACCTGGACCGATCGGGGAAGTCGTAAGGAAGAGAACACGAGAATCGGTATCAGGAGAAGGAGGTCGCACGTCGGGGGACAACGCGTGCAATAAATTCCGTAAAAGGATCATACTTCCTCCAATTGACATGGCAGCCATCGTGTTGCGCGAAAAGCGCGCGTCCTGCGTACTCGGGGACGTAGTACGACTCGCCGGACAGCGTACACGACCGAGCCGAGTGTCCCCTTCTCGCACTTACCCGCGTAGCTCTCGTCCACCTCCTCGTCGGATGCCATATCCTCCGGTACCCTCCTGACGAACTACCCGACGCCCGTGAGAAACGCACACGCACACGATCGCGAGATCGATTCGAGAGCTCGCTCGCCGACCGATAGAGACGCTCACCGTTGGCAAACAGCACGAAAATGTGACATGAAAGAGGCTCGAAGCTCGATGCTTGCGGCGCGTTGTCGGTTTTCAAGCGTGCCGTCACTTCGTCTCGTACGTGCACCGATGTGCACCTACTGCTCTACGCTTCTTCTTTCACGCGATTCGTCGGTTCTTCTCGTTCCTCCCCTTCCACTCTCGTGCCGAACTCTCTCTCCCCCCTCCGTTTGCACTCCCCTCATGCCGCTCTCAAAGAGTTCGCAGCTTCCCCTCTCTTTCTTCCTCTCTTTGTTCCTCGTTCGCCTCGTTATATGCGATGGTGCCGTGTGTACGTAGCTGAATGTACAAATACACCGAATCGCCTGCCCCGCAAGTCCACCGTGTTGCATTTATTTCTTTTTATCCCCCTCCTCCGCCGCTCCCGTCCACGCCGTCGTTCAACCACCAATTCTTCCCCTCCGATTCACGGAATACAGCTTTTTTAGCTTTTAGAAAAAGATTTTTCAATAGCAATGCATCCGCACATACACGGTGTGTACATGTGTGGCGGGGCCGCTCGCTACCGCCGGTCCCCCTGCTTTTGCTCATTTTTTTCTCTTTTTCTTCCTTTTTTTTCCCCTGTTCGTTACATTTTCAGTCGCTTCTTTCTTTTTTTTTTTTTTAAATTTTATCGATTCGGATAAAATGCATGCACACGTCTATTCTCGTTGCGAAACGCATCTTGTTTAAAAAGTATACGCATATGTATATGTGTGTGTGTGTGTGTGTGTGTGTGTGTGTGTGTGGGTGTATGCTCATTTTATGAAAAATAATCTCTTAAATTTTTGAGGATGATTAGTTCTTTGGAATTCTACCATTTTTAGTTCAGCGTAAATTATACGATATTGCGAACTGCGATAGTATGTGTGTACGGATTTCATAGTATGATTAATGGCCGAACAGTTACAAACGCGTACTATTATACAAATATATACGATATATACAAGTACATATATATGTAACATACTCGTGTATCGACCTTTTTGATGGAGACAAGATAACCGAATAATGGCAATCGATGCTATTTTTTTTCTTTTCTTTCTCTTTTTTCTCGCTCGGTTTGATTTAAAAAAAAATATATGTATATGTACGATTCGCCATCGAATTTTTACGATCAAATTACTCGTTAATATCAGTACGCAAATGAAATACAGCGATCGGCACACTGCGAGAAAACTTGAATTAGGAAATTGGTTATTATCGTTCGCTATCGTAATACATACAGAAATAAATTGTATCCACGCGATACATGTATGTGTGTCACGGACCAAGTACATGTATCTCAACGATTTTTCATCCAATTTCATCGAGTTTTTCATACCTGCGTCCAAAAAACAAAAATGTATATAGATCAAATCAATTTTATTTATTTAATCTATTTTCATAGTACATTTTATTAGATGAAATGTACAAGATTACTTTCAACGAGAAAAATATACATATGTACGTACGTTTGATTTACATTTGCTTTAAGCATTATCAATAAAAATATGTAATGATTTTTGTTGATGATATTGTACTTGGTAATGAAATTTGAAAATTAGCAGGGAAAATTTTGCAGGGAAGGAATGCAAATATGGCGCAATCTAGAAACCTTTTGCATCTACCCATTTGAAATACCGCAAATCTCTCAATTGCTTTGTACGAGATCAATCTCTTACAACTATAATTTCTTAACTGCAAGAATTATACTGAACGAAATATTATCAAAACTTTTTTTTTAGATATTAACAGTTTATCATTCCCAGATCGCAAATTGCAAGAATTCCCTGACAATAATACATTGCTGTATGTGTTTACACTTCTTTATTCATAAGTGCTAGAAATACCAAATATATGTATCAGCAAAGAAATGTTCCGCTGAGCAGATATACGTGTCGTCGAATAACGTGAATGAAAATTTTATTTATACGTTTTTTTCATACGTAACAATCTATTTACAGATGATGAAATACATACACATAAAGGCCTTTGTATACAAAACAAAAAAGTTAGAAAAAAGCGTTTGCTATACTCTTACGTACAATAATCTCGTAATTTCTTCATTTTAAGAATTACTATATTACCTATAATACTAATTTTTAAAGAACAAATATGTTTTATGTATATCACTTAAGAAATTGCAATTTACAAAAAGATATATTGTAATTCGTTCTTAGGAATGGATAGAAGCAATGCAATACTGTATGGAATGAATTAGTACCATTGAATTTCAACAATGATCAACAACCATCAAACTCACAGAGTTATCGTACACATTTGGAATATTTAAATTCAAGCATTTGAAATTTGCTGCGACTATTCTCTCTCTCTCTCTCTCTCTCTCTCTTTGTTTCTGTCTCTCTTTTTCTCAGCGAATTGAATAACGATCAAATTTTCAAGTTTATGTGGTTCGAAAGAAATTTTGTGCTACGTCCATCTTCATTTATATATTAATGAAATCTAATTCTCTCTCGGTGAAAATATTTCAATCTAGAATATATATGGTACATTTGCGTAACTAGACATATATCTGTCTGTGAACAACAAGGAAATAGACAGTCACCAAAACATTCTCAATAAAATACAAATTACTTGCAGTACTTTGCATTCTGATGAGTATTGTCTATGCAGTTGTTCACACAAATCGTAATAGATTTGCAAAGATAAAAAGTTATATGCGACGCTATTGTATAATCATATATTAAGATGGAACATTTAACTCGCTCAACCATAGTCAACGCTCAGAGCACTGAGCCCTTTCTTCTTTATAGCCTCTGCCACGGCCCTTTCCAGAAAGTTCTCCTGCTGATTGCTCTCGTCTATCTTATCCAAATCCCAGTCAAACCTGTTGTAATCCTTTTCGTCTTTCGAGTTCAATCTCAATGAACTCGCAGATGTTGTGGCTATGGAACTCTCAAAACTATCGCTGTTCTGCATGCGATTAGAGGGACAGGAACACTGCACGTCAGTGTACTCATTATTGGTCCAATAGCCCGGAGCTTTGTCACTGTAAAAAGCATTCGATTGAGAAACAAGTCCAGCAGACTGTACCAAGCCATGATTGCGAATTGCCATTAAAACTGCTGTGTCCTCCATGTCGTTGCCTCTGAACAACTGAAATCTGGACTCCTCCAAGGAATAGCTGGACGACGTTACCATGATGTAATTTTCCAACACTTTATTGATGGTATTGTCCACGTATCCTTTGGCTACCTGACAAGCCTGCCACCTCTTCAACTTCTCTCTAGCTTGTCTCTCTGCGTCATCATACTCTACGTTCTCTGCTTCTTGTATTGTCTCCTCTTTCTCAACTGAACTCTTCTCCTATGAAACGAACGCATAAACAGATAAACAGTACATACATTTTGAAAGGCTGAAGGACTACCTTTTATTAATTTTCCTTCAGATAGATAAAACGTACAATTAACATATATATTCTCAGAATTAAAATGAGTTATTAGGAATATACTCGGTAGTTACCGTGTCCCAAATAATCTCGCTGACTTTCAGCCGCGTGCACTGCCGTTTCGGAGGTGCTGGCCTTTCGTGATCATCGGTATCCGACTCCTCGATGTCGGTCGCCATTTTCTCTATTTTACGCAGAACTGTATCCGTCCTCTCGACTCGAGCTTCAGCTGAACAAGTCCAACAACGATACTAGTAAACGAGCGTCAGACGGCGAACGGCCTGATCGACGTTGCAAGCATCCGCACCACTTCCATCGATGTCCCTTGACATCGTTCCCCTGGTACAGCGATCAATCTTCACTCGCGCGCGTTCGATCAATTCGAAATCGTTCCGGCACGGTCACTAGTCGCACGTTGATCCTCGCGACGCGGATATCCTAGCATAAACACCGAGAAACGATCGCGAGCAAATTGGTCGGGACACCGAGGAGAGACAAGTGCTATACATAATCAAACGGCGAAGATCGTTTTGACAGCTTCAAAATGGCTACTTTGCCATTGGACTCGGCGTGAAATTCGCGGAGGTAAAGTTCGAACGTCGCCAGAGCGAGAGATTGATAAGAGTGAGACAGTTTCCGAGGATGTCACGAGTGAAGTCGTGAAGCGTGGCGTGTCCAGAGGCAATTTAAACTGAAGTTAATCTGCCTGGACGGTGTTTTGACTGCGGCACCGCGTTTCCAAAATGGCGTAAAACATGTGTTCGCAGTACTCGAAGGGACTTTGACGTCTAGCTCTGTCAAGCGTGCCGTTTACCAAATAGTCCGAGGTGATTCCGTTTTGACATTTTCGTTGCAACGTGTCGTTTGGCATGGCAATCTGCGGGGAGTACATTCGCAGTCAGTTCCCCACCATAGACGACGACCTGTATCAATACGTGGAAGGTATGTTTTCGAGAACTAACCTAAAAGTTGCTGAGACATTTGTTATTTCATCTGCAAATGGCAAGCGTATTTCCATATAATGTAAATATTCGTGTCCATGAAGGTATCCTGGACAGCTCGAAGGATGATTTCGAGGACGGTGATGAGGTTTACGAAGCGATTGGACAGGTGCTACACGAGGTCGCGGAGAAACCAGAGAATGAGGTTAGGTCTGTAAACGTGTTCACATTTGTCACTTTTCATAATACTGTCAATTATCTTTCCATCGACAACGTTCAGTTCACTTTGTGCCCGGCTTTGCAATCTGTGGCATCAATTTTGACTCGTGGTTCTTTTTGATAGTCATTTTTCAATATTATCTTGTTCTTATGTAACTGTTTGTTTAGCTTTCCAATTTTGAATTTTTTATGCACAGGCAAATATGCGTGAAACTACTGGAGATGTTAAAGGGCAATTCAAACGATGGAAATGTCGAAAGAAGAAAAAATGGTGTAAACAAGGTACTGAATGCCCCTGTACACTTGGGTACTATGGCGGCCACCTTGGAGGCTCAGGTTGAGCAAATAAAAAGCATATGGGTTACCACTAGGGACGATGCTATGGTAAGAATTAATTCTTGGATTTAATGACGACAATTAATTCTTATATTTGAACAGATATTATTACCAATATTTAAATCAATATTTGGATATCATTCCAATTGAAAAATGATTCTTCTGTAGAAAGTAGATGCCAAAAAGTTGGAGAAGGCAGAGGCGAAGTTGCAACAGAAGCAAGAAAAGAGAAGTAATAATGAATTAAGCGGACGAATTAATGCCATCACCCAAGGTATAGAATCTGCCAGTGCGAGTCAAATGACGAGTAAAAAGGACAGTAGAATGGAAACGAAAGGCGGTGTAAATAAAGCTCAGGACATTAGGATAGAAAACTTTGATATAGCATATGGAGATAGAATACTATTGCAAGGAGCTGATTTGACACTTGCATTCGGTAGACGTTATGGCCTTATCGGTAGAAATGGACTTGGTAAAACTACATTATTAAGGATGATATCTAGGTACCAAAATACATATTAATTCATGATAATTTTTTAATTTACTTGTTTTGTTTAAACGTCATTTTATTCCAATTCTTAATCGTTTCAGCAAACAATTAAGAATACCATCCCATATAAGAGTCTTACATGTAGAACAAGAAGTTGCTGGAGATGATACCTCTGCCCTAGAATCTGTATTGGAGTGCGATCAAGAGAGGAGTATATTGCTTAGTAAGGAAGCTGAATTGCAAGCTGCAATCGAGAAGGACGGTGGTAAAACAGGGGATGCATTAGGCGAAGAATTAGCTAGAGTATATGAGGCAATGCAGTTAGCTGAAGTAGATAAAGCGCCTGCCAGAGCCAGTGCAATTTTATCAGGACTCGGATTTTCCGTCGAAAGACAATCGTGGCCAACGAAAGCATTTTCTGGTGGTTGGAGAATGAGATTGGCACTCGCTAGGGCGCTATTCTCTAGACCTGACCTTTTATTGCTTGATGAACCTACAAACATGCTTGATATCAAAGCCATACTTTGGTTGGAGAAATATTTACAATCTTGGCCAACTACGTTACTCGTGGTTTCTCACGATAGGAATTTCTTAGACACGGTAAAGACTCTACTGCACTTTAAATTATTATTCGTATAGTATATAGTAAATTTAATCTTATGATATATTTGATGATAGGTTCCTACCGACATACTATATTTGCGTGGACAGAAAATCGAAGCGTATCGCGGCAATTATGAACAGTTTGCAAAAACTAAGGGAGAACGAGAAAGAAACCAACAAAGAGAATACGAAGCTCAGCAAGCTAAAAGAGCACACGTACAAGAATTCATTGATCGATTCCGGTACAATGCCAATCGTGCTTCTAGTGTACAGAGTAAAATTAAGATGCTAGAGAAATTGTAAGTTCAACAAGTCCAGTATGAACAAAGTTTCACGAGATCTATTACTTAACCAAATTTTGTTATTTTTAACAGACCAGAGCTTAAACCAATGGAGAAGGAAGGGGAAGTAACTCTTCGTTTTCCAGATGTTGAACCATTAAGTCCTCCAATATTGCAACTTAATGAAGTCTCCTTTAGTTATACTGGAGGATCTGATAATTCGTGTATATTTAGTTTCGTGAACCTGACTGCTAGCTTACAATCTCGTATATGTATTGTGGGAGAAAACGGTGCCGGCAAAACTACACTTTTGAAGATCATAACAGGTGCACTAAGTCCAACACGAGGCACAGTCCATGTCCATAGAAATTTGAAATTTGGATATTTTAGTCAGCATCACGTGGACCAACTTGACATGCGTGTATGTCCGGTTGAATTATTGCAAAATCATTTTCCAGGTGTGAATTAGTCTATAATCTATATATAAATGTCACTTGAATTGATTCTGTAATTTGTTTTGTGTTTTATTGTATCAGGTAAACCAGTCGAAGAATATAGAAGAATGCTTGGAAGTTTTGGAATAAGCGGTAACTTAGCTCTGCAGACTATCAGCTCTTTGTCGGGGGGACAGAAATCTAGAGTGGCATTTGCATTAATGTGCGCAGCAATGCCAAACTTTTTGGTACTCGACGAACCTACGAATCATCTAGACATCGAATCCATTGAAGCTTTAGGCAAAGCATTGAATACCTGTCAAGTAAAAAAATCGTTCTTAGTTTATTCGCGATTTATTTTAATTTACGTTGTGGAGATTCTATTTTGTATAATCTTTCAGGCAGGTGTTATATTAGTTTCACACGACGAAAGATTAATTCGCATGGTATGCACTGAACTCTGGGTATGCGCAGAAGGATCTGTTCGTTGCATTGAGGGAGGTTTTGACGAATATCGTAGGATTATTGAAAAGGAACTCGAAGTATAAAAATCGCTTTGATTCAATTGTATTATCATTTTCTGCATTGTCCCTAGTTAAGTTACCGATGTGAAAATTTCAATTAATTCAAACAGATACAAGAACAAGTGTTTTTTCTTATACCGGGACAATGGACATTTTTTTATTTATTTATCGATGATACATGGATATTATGTTGTCTGTTTTAAATGAAATCATGATCATTACAAGAATCATTGTTTATATTTCATATATTAACATGAAATATATTATTGTTTTATATTGTTTATATTTCATATATTAACATGAAATTTGCAAAATAGACTGAGTCTTCGATTTGCAACAATATAGAATTAGGAAAGTTTCACATCGTTTAACTGCCAGCTACAATAAGCTATATCTAAAGAAATTCTGATATTTAATATTGTACATTAGTTAATAATAAAAAGTCGTTGTTATAAATAAAAGAATATAAGATTTTGTTCTTATTATAAAACCACTCAAAATATTATATTGATGAACATTGTATTATTTATATATGACAGAAATGCAGTTCTTTTCTTGAAGTTTACTGTTTCGATTCATTAACATGAAAATCTCACACGAAAAGTATACAGAACTATAGAAATTAAAAACATTAAAATCAACATTTTATTTTTAATAAACATAAAATATTCATAATACTTTAAAATACATAGTTGTAATACTTTTATTTTGCTTTCTTTTCCTCATTCATCTAAATTTTTCATTTCGTTGTGATAATGTTTTGAAAATGATTAAAACTAGTACCGTAACATAATAAATATAACAAATTAGTTGAGAACGTTTCATGTGCCAAAGAAGTTGTACTGTATTGTCACAGTTAACCTCCGGATGATGTGTTTAATGGTACCATTGTATTAGATATAGAAGACATTTGCATGGGTGGCGCAGGAGCTTGTTGTTTTGCAGCTGGAATTTTCAAATACTTCCATTACTTTTCTCTTGAGGAATCTTGATACAATTCAATAATCACGCAAACTATTTTAATACGTAGTCAGATCTTGAAGACGTCACATAATGCAAGCAATTAACTCAACAAGCATTTAGTGCAGTTTAAACAAGCACCTAGTGTTAGTTGCAATTATAATGTGTGAATTATTTCTAGTCTCTTGATGTATTGTAATATACAATAAACAAATGGATTGATCAAGTTAGTACGTGGTTTATTTCTCACATTTCATATCATTTTGTGCCATATAAGTGTACACATGCAAAAAAATAAATTTTCTATTCATCGGAAAGGAGACAAATTAATTGATTTATGGTATTACATTTCCAATACAGTGACTCACTGACAATAATAAATTATGTACAATGATCGATGAATGCTTCCAGGCATGCAAATTTACAGAAATAACTTCGCAGTGTATTGTCTAATACTGTGACTTGAAAAGGAATACAACTGATTTGTATGCGTGTCGTTCTTACCATTTCTGCTGCTGTAGACTTTCGTAAACCCCTTAAACTGCTCTGGCGGCGGGAAATTCGCGATAGAATGAAACATATCTGCAAATCGAACTTCCAAGTCTAGAATGCTCATCGTCTGTCCGTTGCGCATGGAAGAACTCCTTGTAGGAGGTGTTGGTGGTGGCGGTGGCGGCGGAGCCAGTCTTTGATGAGTAGGAGCTGGACGATATGGAAGAGGCGGAGGCGGAGGTGGTATACACGGGGCGCTAACTGTTACTCTAGAAGGAGGTGGTGGTGCCACCCTAGTTGCCGCACTAGGTGTACTGTTCGATCTAGAAGTAGGTGGAGAAGGAGGTTTTGCAACTGGAGGCTTAAGAATTCGATTCGTAGGCCTCGGTTGAGTCTCGTTCAAGCAATCTTGAGACTGATGAAGGGAAGATGGCGTTGGAGCAAGTACAGGAGGTGATCTAGACAATCGCATACTTTGTGCTCTTGATACACTTCCTCCGGTTAAATTCAATTTCTTGGGAGGTGGTGACGGTTTGTGCAATGTAGACGACGACGTGGAAGGTGGTTTGGGTGCAAGGGTAGGCTTTCCAAATCCCTTGGGTGCTTCCGTGTTGGAACTAGCGGAATCTGTAGTACTTTGTCCTAGCATTGAGCTTCCCTTCTGAAGTATTGCATGAAAAATCTTAAAATTTATACCACAACATATATAACGTTTCAAATATTTTTACCTGAACAAATATTTGTGGCTTCTGAGTGGCTGGTGGTGGAACTGGTGGTGGGCCTCTTTTTATGCTAGGGGCAGTCGATTGACCAAAGTTTGTATTATTTACATTACTATTGTTTTTTTCACCTGAGGACGTCCGAGATCCTACGGGCTTTAATTTAGGCATGCCAGTAGAAAACAATCCACCTAATCCCATGGGCCCTCCATTACTTGCATTGATGCCACTTGCTACATTAGAACTATTTTCCTTGCTGTGTAGAGAAGAATTTCCTGGTTCACCTCTAACTCTACCTGAAAGAACAATGACAATTGCTATGATTTGACTGTCGCTTGCTAAAAGAAATACATGTTGCAACATACCACTAACTGCCGGTGCACTCTTATCTATAGTTACAGTTTTCTTTAAAGTTTTGCCAGCTCTAATTGACTGTAGAAGCAGATTCCTGTCCTGATCGGCTACGCCAGGACCAGATGCGTTGAAGACAGGAGGCGGCGGTGGAGGTGGAGCAGGCATTCTTGTTCAACTTTTATAAAAAATACTTGCCTCCTGTTAAAATCATTGCAAAAATAAAACATATCAATTCAAGTAAATCTGAATCGCGTCTCTCATCATTAAATTGAATCTTATATCGTTGGCAGAGCGTGCAATGGCTGAAATTCTGCCAGATAAGATTAGGCCTCCTACATAGAAAATACGATATTAGGTTAGCGCAAAAATAATTTCAATATTTGCTTCGAAATTCTATATTCGCGTCAGAAATTTTTACCGTTTAGAAGAACGTGTGTTTCAAGCCTGAAGAGGGTGAAACTGCAAACAATTTACCTGGAATTAATGAAACGATCCTACCCCCGGAGCGGGACGGTCTTTGAAACTACCGCACTTTGTTTCCGTTTCTGATTCACTGTGAGCGAATAGTATCCACATTCCAAAATTATCCAGGACCAATAACGGCCGGACGTACTGACGTCTTTTTACGCGTGAAAATCAAATACGGGCAGTCGGATGTACAGGTGACTAAATTAATACACATCCCGATAAAAATTGACCGTTTGTTTATGGGACTGACGAGTCATACTGGATCAAACATACGTACGTCGAATACACCTGAATGCACCACACCTGGCAGTTACCGAAGTCATACTACCGAAATGAGAACAGTATCGTTCCCTTGTAGCCGCGTTATGATTGGTTCTCGAGAAGGGATTCGCATCTTCGCTTTCCGCTATTGGAACGCACACCCGTTTTCAAACATTCCAATCGTAACTCTATTCGTTCATGCAATTGAACAGATATCTTCAATAATAAAAACGTCGATATTTCTTTTGATATATCAAAAAAGTGACAAAATGATTCTCACAGAGAAATTTATTGAATGCAAAAGTAATATTTACTATGTTGCGTATAAAAGGTAAAGTAATATTTACTATTTTGCGTGTTACAACGTAAAAGAATTGAAATATATATATATATATATATATATATATATATA